TATTGTCCCCTACGACAGGTGTCATACTCAAGTGACACGTATTTCTAAAGCCGGGAAAGTGTGAACAATTTCTATTTATGGACCAATCTGTTTACTAGCGGGCAATGTAAACTTATCAAAGACATCATATACACGCATACTCTAGCCCATCTCGATCTATTCAGCGGTGCATTTTCTAACCAACGTTGTTTTAGAAAGGATCAGTCGTGTATTTCCAAACTATTCGAGTTCCTTACTGATCTTCACACTAAGATTAACAATTAAAAAATCGGCTTTATTTTCATCGATTTTTTCAAAGATTGTGCTTTTTTGTCTGATATAGTTGTATTTTCCTAAACATTCGCACTGTGTCACGCATTCTTGACTGGATAGCTTTATTTTTTGACAATAGAACTTAGTCGATAAAATAAACAACTGTTTTTGTTAACAATGTACAATGTCGTCGGGGGTTCCGCAAGGAAATGTCCTTGGGACTCTTTTATTTCTTATTTATATTCATGAAGCTCAGCGAGTCACAAAGTTGATCGTGTCGGTTGACCAGCTAAGCTGGTGGGAATAGCGCAATTTGACAAAGTACATGAAACAAGAAGTGCGCAGACAAAGCTCTTTCTCTCCACTTGGTTCTTTTGACCTTTGTCAAATCGCGCAGTTCCCTCTCTGTACGATATATATAAATGACACTCATCCTTCATTAATGTCAACATTCAGACTCTGATGATGATTGCGTTACATATAGAAATATTTTCTATACACATGACCTTTGATTATTGCAATCTTACCTTAGCAAAATTTAAAGTCAGTGCACGAATTGGCTCATGAGTATGAGTATTTTACAAAGCATGCAAACACATAAATATTGTAACAAATCCATATTGAAGCTATTTAGCGCACCAGGTAGAGAGAAGAACAGGACAGAAAAGAGCGCTCTTTTCTGTCCTCTTCTTTTTCTCTCTACCTCGTGCGCTATATACTTTCAATATGTTAGACTACGAACTAGCCCAAATGTAAACTTTACTAACAAATCCATGTAGGGCCTAGCTGTAATACTTTCCTGTAGATCCGCATCATTGACAGTATAATTAATTAAAAGTACTTTATGTTTATTTAAAAAAAAATTTGATACGGTCTCATCAGATAGATAACGTTATTAATGCGTTAGCATTACTACCCACACGACAGGGAAAAGCTCACGGCATTCGTCTTTGGACAAAACAGTGGAAAGGGAAGCGCGCCGCGTAGAGAGCAGGAATGTAGTGTAGGAAAAAAGCAAGAGGAAGGCGACACCACGGGGCGGTAGCCACTGCGCGCGCGGATACTGAGGCTAGTCCGAACGTCCAGGTGTGCGGAGCGAGTAAGCCTTGGTTTGTGTTACAAACCTGGCGCTGGTTGAAGTAGGCGGCAAAAAATTATAGAAAGATCCATTGGTATCTTGTTGGTGAGCGCGTCGGTAATCATGGAACTTTAGAAATAAATCATTTGTGTGTTGAAAGTTGAAAGATGTGTTGTCCTGTCCCTTGTCTTTATCTATAAAACTCTTTCTAAAGTTACATCTAGTGGTGGATCCTTGGGGAATACGTTAGCATGACCTGTGGGAAATGCCACACACGTCCCCCTTTAGAAAGCGCTAACACTGACCCAATAGCAAAGCCAGAAAAAGGCAGCCAGAAAAATAGAGGAAGCAAAACAGAAAGCCAAAACAATAAAGTGAAGGGGTTTGCGTCAGCGTTTTCCAAAGTGGAACGTTTGTGGCGTTTCACCAGGATCTTGCTAACGGTTCCGTTGAGGTCAACCAATGGATCTTCCTTTATTTCAGGTGTCCATAATCGTCTTAGCTTTTTAAAAAGAAACATTAACCTCACCCCTCCGCCTAATGCGGACAGGAAGTCGCCTGCTTCTTGCGCTGGATTGGTGATAACGTCAAAACGACACGGAGCTATGATTGGCTTTGATTGAATGGATAGTGGGTATACCTCTTTTCGCTGCTGTGGGGAGGCAGAGACTCGTCAAGCAACAACTAAGTTTTTTTTTCTCTGTTTCCCCTCTTCAAATGGAGAGAAATAAAGAGTTTGAGTTTGAGTAGGTACTTTGAGTTATGCCGTCTATTTTTTTTTTCAATCATTCAATAAGAGTTAGGCGTTCTGACATCATCGCAACCCCTCTGCAAGAAGCAGACGAACTTGAGCTCCGCATAGATTATTTTCCTACAAATGCCTCATATTTCTAAAACTAAAATACGCCAGCGCCATCTAGAATCCAAGTCAAAAATATATTATCGACAAACTGGAATATTTGTTGAAAACAAAGCTGCGCAGTTTATCCCTCACTCGCCAGGCTGACGTCACTAAAAGGAATGTGCTCTAGAGTCTCTTGAAAAAGTAATCGCTTGTTCTGACTTACAAACATGTACTAACATTCGTACTGTAATCAACGAACAAGGTGAGCATAATTTTAATATTGATTCCAGCTATGTTGATCAATAAATAATTAAATATGCATATTTCATGACTTTGAAACAGCCCATTCATTTCTAAGCAACCTCGCTTCTACATTTCACAAGAAACAACGAATCTTTTCATCAATATCTAGCCACCCTTATATTTGGTTTTGTGCATAAAATATTCGAAGAGAATGATATACTAAATGATATCGAATCAAATGATTTAACATATAACACAGAATGTGAGGGGTACCTGAATTTGTTATTCATTACCGTTTCGTACAAGACGTACAAGAGTTTGGCGTCTTCATAGGTTCAAGCCATATTAAATCATATAAATATAATATAAAGCCTCGTGGATCTATCCGAGTTCGAAGTATAAGGACATCAGTTCTAGTACAAATTGTATGACAATAGCATGAAACATAGATAATTGCCCAGATTAATGCTTCTAGCTTATAAGGTTGTGAATTATTACACACGACCGCACACACATTTTAGCACCGAATTTCCAAGCAGCTCCAGTAGTCGCAATCATTTATAAAGATTGTTATTTTAATTTTAATAGATTACATTATCCCTTTAAGAACATTCGCATTGAGCTCTCCCGCTATCACAGAATATTCGAAACCTTCAGCGATATGGTAAAGCTGTATAATAATCGCGCTCCGTTATTTTGTAGTAATAAACATTATAATAAAGATGCTTCCTTACGCCTTCACGGCTCGAAGATTATACTATAAAACTGATATCATTCGTATTCAACAAAATGTAAATGATGTACGTGTCACAGGTCAACCTTAAGTTCATGAGCGCTGCAAATAATTATGCTTGTGATGAGGACCCACAGGACCGTGAACGAAACTCTTCTTGAGCGCGAACGCCACGGGAGGGATATCCGAGTGTTGTTTGTCGAGGGGTGTGCTGCTGGTATCGGCAATAGCTCTGACGCCGCTTGAGAAACGCGTTTTGGAACGACGATGACAGGCACGTAGGCAGAGGGGGGGGGGGGGCATGTGTTCCGCCCCCCCCCCCCGAAATCTTCCATTTTGCTGGGACCCTCCTTTCCCCTCTCCCTTTCATACAGCATTTTGTCATGGGCGTCCCCCCCCCCCTCCCCCCCCCCCCCCCCCCCCCGCACCCCGAAACAAAATCCTGGCTACGTGCCTGGATGATGACGCGGATGGAAAGTTCCTGAAGTGACGGAATCGACGAGTTAATCGGTGGCAAAAACATTCCAGGGTGTCGTTAATATTCAGTTACATTGAGCTCTGTTTGTGAAAAAGGAAAAAAAAATTTCACAGTGTATCGCCACAAAAAATGGAGGCAAATGTATGTTTCAGTTGATCTGTATATTTTCTGGTTGTTGGGTATGATTCGTGAGACATTCGAAAAATGCTAAGAAAATCCTGGCTTGCAGAGAAGAACATGTCGTACCGGTCGACACCTTGACTACTGACCTTCACGATTGATGCGTAGATGCTGGTGCAGGACGCTGCTTAAACAAGATCAAAGCGGTTTATTGCGATCTGCACCTCGTCGACGAATATGATATTTTAACGCTGGATATCCTAGCCAATTTCGCTTTTTTACATAAAAATCTCGCGATAAATGCCAAAGTTAGCAATTCTAATGGGGGAAAATTTTAAAGATGCATGCTATCTACAAAATAGACGACCCCATTTTCGCTTCCGAGGTCTTTTAACTTCCGAAGACCATTGACACTCTGGTTTGCCTTGCAACATGGTTCATACAAAACGCACCGTTAGCTCCTGCAGCGTGGACGGAATTCAAAGGTCAAGATATTTATTTTTTCGTAGGTTATTATTGTCTGGATTTTTTTTTATATAAGTCGCAGTAAATGGCTAGGTATCCGAGGAGAAAGAGACGAGCAGGAATTTTTCACGACGCAACGTTTCCATGCGTGAGGTCGTCAGCGTGACGTCACGGTGTTACGCCATGACGTACAATCACGCTGGTGACGTCATGTGAACACCGTCCTCGAAATTCAGAAAGAATAAAGTGTGTTAACCTTAGCAATAGTCCGACAATTTTTGGCATGTTTCTTTTTCCGAAGTTTTGTGGTTTTTGGTGGCGTCACGTCACAATTTGCGTCAGGATTCCCGCAGGGATACGCATTATCTCTTAATAGTGTGGGCTACAAATAGAAAGCAATAACCGATGAAACGTAAACACTCCAATCAAACTCCCTCTGGCCGTTCATGTAGAAGCCATGCCCACCGGCGCCTCGTTTGCCGAAGGTCGATATCCGGATGCCGACGCGCACCATACACACCACAATCCGAGGGAAAACAAGCAAAAAAGGCGCCGGGCAGGAGAAGACGGCCCGCGCTGCCTCGGCTACCCTTGTGCGCATTTGCCCCGATCTTTCTGGTCTATCGACGTCTCACTCCCCCTCACGTCGCTCGCCCTTGCCTGGTCGCGTTCACTGCCGGCTGCTTTGGAGGAAACTGGTTCTTATTTCACGCGATGTTTATGTCGTCAGCGGCGGCAGCAGGGAAAGGTGAAGGAGGCGGGAGGCGGAGGGGTGGCGTTTGGCCAGCCGGGTTATCCCAGGGCGAGGAGGCGAGGCGCGCGGCGAGCTGCGGCGTCCAACCGATCGAGATGTTTCGGCTCGTTCCAGAGTGAAAGGACCGCCGAGTGAACAACACGCTTCGTCAAGTTTTGTCCGTCTGTTCGATCGACTGTGTTCCGCGCTCATCATGCAACCGTCGACACCGCTGCTCCTAATGACGTTTGTGGTGTGCTGCTTTGTCAGCGAAGTGAGAACGGATTACCCCGCGCTCAGGTAAGCTTTGGAGTATTTTTTTTTTCTTCGTATCATTGAGCTTCGGGTTGCCATCAAACTTTAAACTGGAGCGAGGGAGGTTTGATATGGTAGCCTGCCCAAGGATGGCAGGGGCCCCTAAGTGAATAGTTATCTTCTGTCAGATCTTCACTAAGCTATTTTCGAGGAAAAGCCGTATTGTGCGATGCAAGTGCGAAGCGAAATTGAGAGAAATATTTCTTGTATATAGTAAACACAAGTTTTGGGTTCGCATGAGCTTTACGATGACTTCAAAAACCTTTTATAATAGCTACGTTTGTAGGCATTATCTGGGGTAAGTCTGAGTGCCTATTAAAAGAGCAGTGGAGTACGATTTCGCGGATTTACGACATCGTTTGAATTGCGATAAAACGAATTCCACACTTGGATGATTTAAATAATAAAATAATCTAGACTTGCTTCGGAAAACAAAAAAAAAAAAAACAAGTTTCAGGATTACCAGTTTGCTACCCTTTATTCCATCCAACTACATTTATAATGTAAAACACTAAAATACTTCCGAAAATATTAGCTTTTCATCACTCTAAAGCAGCAGGATCACGGTTGCAGCGTGAAAGCGAAAGATGTTATAAACTTGAGTACAAAATCATGTAATGCTTCGAATAAGCTGCCTAAATCTTTTCGTAGAATCGTATTAAGTTTCAATGTTTTAGAGATTAATTCAGTCGAGAAACACCCAAAGGGAGCGTGTTTCTCGAAGACGAAGACTCAATGGCGTTGATTTAGCGGGCTTAAAATATTATATTACTCACACAGATTGTTCGTCAGCTCCAAAATATATCGCATTAGTTTCGTCACGAGCGTAATATTCCAACCCCGTTAGAGGCTGTAATAATAGTGTCTGAGTTATAAATGAAAAGGCAGTGCTACCTTCGTTGTAATTGTGCGGCACTCTACTTTAAAACACTGTAAATACCCAGGACGTTTACTGGAAATGTACATATTGAAAAGCCTAGCGATAACATATGAAACTCAGATGGGCGATGGAGTTGATGTTTTGTTCTTCGTCTCCGTCGTTAGAAGTCATAGGTGTTTAGGACAGACGAAGCTAGCTCAAAATTGTACTACCAAGACAAAGAAATGAAAAATATGCTGCAGTTATATATCTTATAAAAACCCAAACTAGTTGATGAAGCTCTTTGGTAACATTTTTTTACAAAAAGGTTACACACAAAGGACAGACCACTGACAGCAATATTTTTCTGAAGTTCATACTATTTTTATATGATTAATTCAAATTTATCCCAAGTTTTTTTTTTGTTTTTTTTTTTGGGGGGGGGGGGGTCAGTTGTTTTCTCTTATTATTTTCACTTCACTTTGTAAATGAAGTCAAAGGACAGGCTGTCGACTACATATACACCGCAGAGTTGATGTCATAAACTCAGGCTGTTTAGGTTATTCATCGACCGTTTCAGTGGCTTGGAGTTTTGGTGAAACGAAAAGAGGTCAGCTGTGGTGGCTTTAACCTGCCGCGCAATAAAAACATCTATGCAGACTGATATGCTTTACACCCTTAGTTGTGTGCAAAGAGCGTATGAGAGACTTAAAAGTGATTTATGCACATTTTGAGCACCCTTAGGCGGAATAATAAACCCTTATCAGCTCTAAAATCGTGTTGTTGCATGTGAAATAAATATTTTAGGGATGTAAAAATTGCGAGGAAAGGAGGCTGCGGCGCAGAGCACCAAAGTGACAATAAACTTTGGTTTAGACAGTTTTAGTGTTGGAAAGTTTAGCCACTATATTAAATAATTATTTCCAGTACTGATACTTTATACTGGGATATATATTCATTGAACCTCCAAAAAACTTTCAACATTCTGGACACCCGACTGCCAGAAGCACGAAGGCGAACGGCACGCTATGCTGATAATTAAAAAGCTAGCTTGTATATTCTCTGTAACTTCTATATTAAGAAACATATCTTTTTCCAGAAATACTATAAAGTAATATTTATAAAAAAAAACGTGTAACCCTATTACTAACTGCAGCGGTTGCCTCCGATTGAGTACTTTGCAATTGTTGAGCATAGAAGTCGGCAGAGAAGTCAGCAAGGTCGTTATACCGGACCCGCGCATGTTTCGTGGCATTCGTACTTGTTGTTTTGGTGATGGATATAGTTCTTGGGGCGTGTACACTTAAAGTGAACGTAGGAGTAAAGCCGCAGGCAGTAATAAACGTCTCAAGGAAGCCGGTATGATTGCCAGCTTCATTGTTAAAGTCGTTCGATCTTAAAATGAATGTTGACCGACAATGTGTGCCTTGTGGCCTAAACGTTTTTGTTGGTCAGGTGGAAATGTGACCTATGTCTGAGAAAACACTATTGTTCTTTAATTTGTTTGCTGTACAAAGAAGCCAAACAATAAGCCACAAAACAAGATGAGTAAAAAAGAGGCAGCCCATATGTTTATTAATATGTTAATAAAATGTGAGATTTTTTTTCAACGCAACAGTACTAGGCGTGTTTGACACACTTTATTAGAAAAACAAGCAATACAACAGTGAGTTAAAAGGCGACAGGTGAAGTTCCAGGATCTTGCGCCCGAGTGTGAATGCAAACAAAAAGAAACGCTAGCACTGGCTGACTCTACCTAACAGAGGAATAATCAGGCCGTTTCGAAGATTTGAGCGCCATGCTTTCGGTCGACGACATCAAACACTATTTGATATGCTTCTGTGAGGTCTTCATATGTGCATTTACACGAAAAACATTATGTTAGCCGGCTTAGGATTAATCAATTGAAGCTAGCATAATTGTGTTTGCTTCTGTGCGTAAATTGTTTTGATTAACGTCGATGTTACCATTCGACGGGAAACAGACAGACATAGCATGATCCTCCTTCGATTGCAAAGGTGATCATAATCGTCCCGATGATGACTAGAGATGTTGCAATTCTTCTGAGGTGAGAGTTCGACAAGGTTCGGCTTTTCCGATCTTTCCATTCCAAGATCCGACAAACGTTCGACAGAACGTTCAGCGATATGCTAATGCGCTTAAATTAAGAACGAGTTGGCATCTCCTGGCGAATGAAGAGAGAAGCATATTAACAAATTAACCATAATATTAAACGTTTATATATTTGCGTTTATATTATGTCAATATTGAAATTCCTTTTTTTAATTAAGGACGCATATAAGTATTCTTAACCTAAAACTCTAGAGTCGGCCGGCGCTGTTTAGGATGTCAATCTTTCTTTAACTTTGCCAAAACGCTTAAAAAAATGGTTTGTGTTTATTTTTATACAACCTAAAACTTGGTCTGCCTCAACGGGCGACGAGTCTCCCAGCTGTAGATGAGCAATTTAGCCAGTGCAGTACAACCGCTAGCCTGGGGTCTTTAACGTGCACCACGCAGTAGTGATACACGACCGCACGCCGGTACGATGCTCATCCAGATCGAAACGGGCAGGGGTGGGGGTTAAACCCAGGATCCCTGCGTTCTGCAGCGAGAGCTTTCGCCCCACGTGCTCCGATCTGGAAAACCCTTGAAAGTTCTTCGACTTCAAGCGTTTCGACATTCCTGGTTACGAGCTGTCACAACACAAGAAGGAGGAGAGCAGCCGAGAGCCTTTATGGGCGAGGCCTGTCAAAGGCGCTGAGGGAAGGCGCGTCAAGTTGGAGCTTCACAATTAGTTCTCGCGTGCTAGGTATGAAGAGCGCGTTACGGTACGCATTGGGGAGGGACACCGTGTGATTCGGTGAGGATGTATTCAAAGCGGAATTTGAATGGTCCTTACATCTTTGCGATTTTCATCGAAGTTGAGATTACGAGAATCAAAACGAGGTTCTCTTAACCGCACAATACTTCGGAATATTTAATAAAAAAAAAAGAGGTCGTGCGGAAATATTAGAAGGGCTCAAATAACATGTCTGTTTGAACACACCTTAGCTTTGCCGGGATACAAGCTACAGGCATTCAAATATGTCAAATAAGACGTTTCTGAAAGTATTGCTCATTATTTCTCTGGTTAAACACACGGTACCACTGGGCCCTTTAACAAAAAAATCAGTGGTATCCACCTGATTGGACGAACTAGCACTGTCTTAAAGTTAGTAGCTCATCTATGTAGTAGTGAGCGGAACTTAGAATGAGTGATAAAGGAGCAAGTAGGCCCGGTAACATTCATGACCACGACGCAAGCAAACTCTTATCTGGTCGGGAGTAGCAGGCGGAAGTGGCGTAAAAGGATTGGTCACGTATGCACGTAATCAAACGAAATTTTGTGAATGTTTTTTTATGTACAAATATTATGTACATATTTATTACAAAAAAAAAGAAAATATTATATTGAAAACCTGATTTTTCAGGATGGAGTTCTATAAAGAAAAATAAAATCACGGTAGGGAAACATCATAGTAGCAGCCTTGCTCGCGATATGAGGAAATATGAATGCGCCTTCAAATGCAAATTTTCTCGTCGTGCAGTGACCTGCTGATATCGTCTTAGCTGAACCTTTGATCTTTAAACATGTCTGTTCCCATCATACTTGCTGCTAAGATTTTGTTTTATGTGTCCCCCGGCGCTCCCAGACACTAAGCGCTTCGTTGGCGCGGCTGTCAGCGGTAGTGACCGTGGCGTTGAGCCGCTAGTCATCCTCTAAACACCAGGTAAACTAGCCCTAGCACTTGACTAAGATCTGTTAGTCGCCTTCTACGTCACTCGGGGCGACTAGCCCAGACCAAAGTCGGTGAATACCAAGTGCGTACTTAGCAGTGATTACTATCTGCCACATGAACGTTTTAGTTGATGTCACAGTTAGTCAGAGGTTCAACAGGCTCTAGTCACGTCTGTTGAATACTGATGACTATGTTTAAGAGCTGGAGTTTACGCAAGAAGCGTTAAGCTCGGGCGTAGTGGCAAACCGTAAGCCGCAGGCCAAGACAACATAAACCATACATAACCAGCAATCTACTCTATGGCGGCATTGCCGGCTTATAGATGGCGTAAATTATTATATTAG